CCTGTACGGGATCCGAACAACTGACTTCTGCGATTCTAGTGCAGCGCTCTACCAATTAAGCTAACAAGCCAACTGGGAGCAGGCCGTTAAGTTGATTCGTAATCAGATATTTTTTTTCAGGTCTGATTTTCGCTATTGCATAAATAGCGCTCTCTACTGCGAGGATCGTGCATCATACGTATCTAATACCGCAGTTCAAATATATGAACTTCATATATTCCTTATTTCTAATAGTTAGTCGTTACACTTTTGTCCAGAAATGCACGCAGTAACAAAAATGGCATATTTTGATAAATTTTAGTGAAATTCGTCAAAGCGAAACCAGCATAAACGAAAACATAAAATGACATGAAATACGACACAGTGAAAAGAAAATGTGCCGCAATATGACGTTCTGTCAGAAGCCTGTAATTAATATTGGTTTTGTAAAAGAATCACGGATCAGATGATATTGCCAAAGCTAAGTTACGTGAAGAATTGTTCTACGTTGAATAATTTATCAAATGAAAGAAAATCAGAAAAGGTGAACTGAAAAGCTTAGTCTTGTATTCATTCAATGTCCTATATTTGAAGACGACCGATGATATCGGTTTACGCAGCTTCTACGAAGAAAAGAATCACTTTAATTTAATTTGTGTGTAACAAAACACCTATTTAAAATTGTTTAAGCATCATGTCTTACAAGACACCTGCGGACAACTCAGGGACAGATTATAACCACACTGAATATTAGTGAGGTATTCTCAAAAACGGATTTATTTAACCCCTATTACCAAATAGTTTTGCTACTTGATACTGATTCCTTTAGGTAATTTGGATTTTTAGACTGCGTTTTTAGTGCGTTTTTAGCGCTTTTAAGTAACGTGTCAGTTACTGTGAGCACGATATGGCAGAATTTCGCGTCCTGCTGTCATATGACATGAAAGGAAATTTAAGATATGGTGTTGCTTGAGCTTGAATAGGAAGGACAAGTGTATCATTTTAAAAATGTTATAATAAGCTTGAAAATAGAGAGTTTAAAGCTTTGAAATTGAAGGGGTTAAAGAATTCACGGATCTTTATGTTTTGAAATAAGCAATTGCGGGCCACTATGAAGAATATGTAAGAGAACTAAATGACACAATAAAGATCGTTGATATTTTCTACTACAGGTTCTTGATTGATGTGTTTGCGTACGAGACTTGTATATCTAAACAATTCGCCATCAGGGTATTTTATGTATTGTTTTACAATAAGTTTGCCAGAAAGTTGCACAATAGAATAATACCGACTACTTTTAAGTCGCAATTAACGTGAGTTCAGTTTGTAGCTGCTACTGAAAATGGAGATTGGAGTATTAAAACTTTCCAGGAGTTATCTTTGTGTACTCATGATTATCGTCACCTTACCAGATCCATCTAAAGGTACGTTGAATGTGTATTAGAATCAGAAGTATCATGGTAAATTTTAAGCTCAGTGGAAGAAACAAATGTTTCTTTTGTGTCTTTTCACAAGCGGGGGAAATGGAAAAACTACTGAGGTTCCACAAGTAATCAAACCTTATATTTCGAATTCCATCTTTCTTATTCTATTTACCCACTTGACGCTTTCGAAACTGCTGTTACTGATAGTTTGCAAGAAGCTTGTGACGTGTTAACCTATAGTAGCAAAGGTCTAACTCACGAAAGAGTTTCCATAGGAAAGTAGTAGAGCATCTCAGTGAGAAGTACAAACCTCTTAGGTTCGACAATTCTCGGAAACTCTAACAAGGTCGGTTAGTTTAGCTGTCGTTTGAAAAAAACTGTACTCTAAACTATCTTCAATTTAATTTGGATATATCACCAAACTTGAAATTTAGCCGAACCTTGTACCTAAAAATTTATGTTTGTGAACAGCATCAAGAGGGTCGAAAGCTAACAGTGGAAGTAACATAATATCCCATTAAATTAATCCCGTTATAGAGAATACCCGAGGCTCACTGCGTGCGTAAAACCTCGGTTTGGGTTAGACCTCAAGTACATAACCGGCCCTTTTTATCTTTCGCACCACGCTTGTAACAAGACGGACATATCAGAATCCTTGATACATGCTATCGACGATTACAATCGATTTTAAGCAGTCGCTTATTATTTAAACACCTTTATTTACCTTTTCATTCCTAGAGGCCAAAGTCATCGATGCACGCGATAAAACCCTTAGCCGCGGCACTGATAGAGGAACTGCATATGCCAGGTTTAAGCCTCACAAGTTTTCCCATCTCAACATCACCAGCATTGGTTCAGACTTTGTTCTGAAAGGCAGTGAGTGTGGGCTCGCCTGTGTCAACATTCCTTCATGTTTCTCGTTTAACCTGGGCTTGTTTCACGATGTAATTGGTAAAGTGATCTGTGAATTGCTTCCGTCGGATATTTACAACAACTCAGAGAAGTTTGTCTTCAGTCAAAGTCACCATCACTATAGTATTGCGGTGAGTGAAAAATCGCAATACTCACATAAATTAAAATTTATCAAAGTGTTGATTTTCTATTTTTTTCTTTGTCGCAAATTGGCACCGTAAACGTTGGGGACTGGTCATTATTATCGCCGGAGGAGTAGTGGGAAGGGGGGTTCGAAGGATTTTGGTTGTGTCACGTTAAAACTTACATGATTTCTTCCCCCCCCCTCAGTAATATTCTTACGACCCCCTCCCCACCCCTCATCGGCATTTAATTTTCTATAGTCCTTTCT